ACGACGACGACCAGGAAGACGACAACTGAAGAGCCTGAAGAGCTGAAACACGGTGCAGTCTCCAGACCCTGAAGATCCTGAAGAGCTGACACTGCATCGTCTCCAGACGACCTGGGAGACCCTGAAGAGCTGTAACACTACATCGTCTGCGGACGACCCTGAAGAGCTGTGATACCGCGTCGTCTCCGTGCTGCTCACAGTAGACAGACGCGACCCTTAAGAGTTGTGACACTGCGTCGTCTCTGTGCTGTACCGTGCTGCCCACAATAAACAGACGACACTGTCGTCTCCGTGCTGTAACACTACGCTGCTTGCCCCGGCTCTCACTCCTTCACTCAGGAAACCCGTTCGGCTGTCCCCCCAGGTCGGGACAAACCAGCTATTTGCTTAAATGAACAATAGAATAACTCATCATGAGTGAAAACATCCTGACTCCCCAAAAAACTGATTTGAAACCAGAGGTATCTCCTGGCTGCTCCCAGGTCCCTTCTCTCTCTTCCTCTCAACGGCACCCCTGCCACAGCTCCCCCGTGGTTCTCACCCACACTGCACTGCTCACTCAGTCCGGTACTTCTGAGTTGGAAGAGCACGGAGAACACACCTAACTAAAGAATGTACGTAAATTGCTTGTACTGGACAAGACTAGCAATAACTTTAGAATGCAGTGCACATGTATCAGCTTAAATATTCAAGTAGGCAAAAAGTTGAAAAAAATCCATATTATTGATCAACTGATGAAGTAAATAAATAGTATATCCCTACAGTGAAATACTATTCAGCAATAAAAATGAAACTACTGACCTCTGTTAAAATGAGAATAAATTGCAAAAGCATACCAAGTGAAAAAAAAAAAAGCCAGACACAGAAGACCGTATATTCCAGGACTTCATGAATATGAAATGCTCAGACAAGGCTAATCAACACAGATATAACAGATTAGTGGCTGTCTGAGACTGAGGGTGGAGACAAGGACTAACGGGGAGAAGAGGGATCTTACAGGGTAGCAGAAAAGCTCTGAAACTAGCTCATGGGGGATAGCTGAGTAACTCACTGAATTTACCGAAGATCACCTCTACTCTTACAACATGGGAATTTTAGGGTAAAGATGCTAAATACTGAAAAAACTAAGAAACTGATTCTTTTTTTATCAAGGATGAACTAGAGAGTTTTCTCCTTTTGATGAAAAGGGTGAGCTTGGGACAAGCAGATGGCATAATGGGTTACATCGCTGGACTCCCACTTAGCTGACCACAGTTTTGAATCCTGGACCTCACAGCTTCAACTCATAATGGGTGCATGTGCAAGTGTACCTAAAATTCTTTTTTTTTTTTTTGCGCGGGGGGGGGGTTGGTGCTATAGGGTGCATGCGCTCGCCAGAAAGACAGAGACAGAAAATGAGAAATCACCACCACGCCACCTGCCAGCCTCCCAATAAAATTTATTTGAACCTTAGGCAGAAAGCCTCTTAATTACCTGCAAAAACTCATTGAGTACCCAAAAGTTCAGAAATTCTAAAAAGTAAAAAAATGGGAACAGGATCAAAAATGAAACTTACTAAAAGGAGACAGGGAAAAACTTGATAACATTTAATTTCTGAGAATATATGGAAATCTGGCCTTCAAATTGCAGACCTTCTATATAACACCCCTTCTTCATTCCAGTGATCATTGCTCCTGTTTACACTTCACCTTTCCATTAGAGGAGACCAATCCTGGGCCGACTCAAGGTGAAAAAGGCAACCGCATCCCACATGACCGACCCGATAGTTCCAACCTGAGACCCAGTGACCAGAAACACACCCAGCACATGTACTTGAATGCCCAAACTCTTAGGAAGATAATAGAGGAGAAGGAATTGTGACCTGGCCATCCCCCTCCCAAGGGTGCTTTTTCTCACCTTCCTTCTCTCTCTCTCTCTCTCTTTCTCAGTCGAGCATATACGCCCTAAAGCAAATTAAAAAAAAAAAAAAATGTGGGTCCAGCAGTTGGCATAATGGCTATGTCGCTGGACTCCCATGTAGTCGACTACAGTTGGAGTCCTTGACCTGGTGGCTTAAACTCACACCAGGCGGGTATGTGTGCATGTCCAAGATCCGGAGAGGAGAAGGGACTACAGTGTGGCCATCCCCCCTGGGGGGTGATTTCTCGCTTTCTGTCTCTCTGGCAAGCGCATGTGCCCTATAGCAAAAACCTCTCCAAAAAATAAAAATAAATGGACTTCAAAAGGAAACATTATCAGTACTTCCTCTATCCCTTTCTATCACAGAACTCCTCACCTGGTTCAGGGAGCTCAGTCTGTGGTGTCAAACTGGGGATTCCTGGCTCCTTCTGCGTAGCATCGACGCTGGCACTAGATTTATCACAGACATTCAACTGTGGCCCAACTGAATCTAAGCGGCTGGCTTTATTTGCATCTGTCCGTGTATCCTCCACTGCATTTGTTGGAGGAGGAGCTCTATGTTCTGGGAACTCATCCCCTGCCTTCTGCACAGGGTCACCAGGAAGTAAGACCCCAAAGGCACCCTCAGAGTTCTCCTTCTCCCTAAACCTGTTGGTACGCTTACGAGGTTTAGTGCGCCTCGGGTTTAAACGTTGCCACCGCTTCTTAGGAACCACTTGATTTACACCACTGGGTTCATCATTCTCACTGTTCATTTCAGACTCCAATGCTGGGCCTTTTCTGTTTTCAAAAGCGGGGCCTTTTTCAGGAATTTTATCAGGGTCAGACTGTTTAACCTTCGTATCAAAATGAATGCCAGAAAAACAAGTACCATCTTCACTTGTTAAAGTGCCGACTAGCTGTACAGGTTCTTCCTTACCAGGATCTTCTGCCCCACCTTTTGCTGAGCCACTCTCTGCACCTCCACTTTCTCTATCTCCCTGCAATTTAGCCTCAAGCGTCACAGCTGGCAGCTGGTTCAGCTTTCTTTTACGTTCTGTCTTTAAGGCTTTGCGGTTCACTGTGTTCTTTCCCATCTGGGCTGAAAAGGCATCTCGAAATTTGGGTGGCAGCTTTGATCGTCCACAGTGGCGCCTAGTAACACAGTTTGAACGACTTTTGCCAGAAGTAGGAAGGTCTCTTCTGTCAGACACCAAGCCAGGTAGGGAGGCAGACAACTCCCCCGACAGTGCAGGGCCACTCCTGCTAGGGCTTGGGTGTGCGGCGTCCTGAGTGCCATCTCCATCTTTTTCTGAATTGTGGGTGGAAGCTCCTGAAACCACAACCTTAGAAGGCCCTACAGGACCACTGGTAGAACAGTCCCCACGCCCAGGGTTCCGGTAAGAGATCAGGTTCTGAGCCGTCATCAGCCGCTGCTCCTTGGTTTTACTGTCATGCATGTCTTTCAACATCATTAGCAAGGTACTAAATTTGTAGTCTGGTTCAATAGGGAGGTGATTTTGACTAGAAGAAGAAAAAAGTAACTGTTTTGACGGCTTTGAAGTTCCAGAATCACCGACATCCTCAGTTAAGGATCTGTAGGAGAGCTCCTTCAACTCTGACAGGACGTGTTTCACCACGGCCGACTCTATGTCACTCGGGTCCCTGGCTTTCTCGTGCATGTTGCTCAGTAGTTTCAGCCCGTCCATTTTCCCACTTTTAGAGATGCTGGCCAAAGAAGAGCCTTTGGTATCGGAAGA